AGAGACAAACAAAAGATTCATGAATGAAAATGTGTGAATGAATAAAATATTGTGAAAAGAAAATGGTTAAGAATGTCGGTCTCTGAACCTGCAAGAGAATGCTGGTAGAATTCCAAACCCAACAAACAAATGGGGGGGAAATGCTTGCTTTTAATTCATTGCCCCACCCGCTTCATGAGATAGCTAAGTTCCTTTCCTCCTCTTATAAAAGTGGAACATGTAACATGCAGATTCTTCACTGCAAATCTGCTAGCAGAACCAAATTTACAAGATATTAGCCTGATTCCAAACCATGTCTATGCAGGGCCACAGAGAATACACTCTGCATGTACAGGGTATATGGATTCACAGAATGTTACTCCTACTAGATTTGCGGTAGGCAGAAGGTATTTTGAGATCTCCTGGAAGACCTCCAGTGGCTGAGGTACATTTGTCATTTGACATTTGTCGGAAATTTCTGAACACATTGGCAATGGGAACACTGCTACTTCCAATAGGCTACTTGTGGGGGAAAACTAGGAGAGGATTTAAAATATAAAAATAAAAAGAAAGGACTGTATTTTCATTTCTGGTACCGAAAACAAATTCTTGTATAAAAAGGTAAAGACAGTGGCGTAGCGTGGGTTGTCAGCACCCGGGGCAAGGCAAGTAATTTGCGCCCCCTAACCCGTGGATTTGCGCCCCCTAACCCGTGGATTTGCGCCCCCTAACCTGTGGATTTGCCCTAACCCCAGATGTTGCGCCCGGTGCGGCCGGCCCCCCCTGCACCCCCCACGCTACGCCACTGGGTAAAGGTAAAGGGACCCCTGACCGTTAGGTCCAGTCGTGACAAACTCTGGGGTTGCGGCGCTCATCTTACTTTATTGGCCGAGGGAGCCGGCATACAGCTTCCGGGTCATGTGGCCAGCATGTCTAAGCCACTTCTGGCGAACCAGAGCAGCGCACGGAAATGCCGTTTACCTTTCCGCCAAAGCGGTACCTATTTATCTACTTGCACTTTGACGTGCTTGCACTTTGACGTTTGCAGGAGCAGGGAGTGAGCAATGGGAGCTCACCCCGTCACGGGGACTCGAACCGCCGACCTTCTGATCGGCAAGTCCTAGGCTCTGTGGTTTAACCCACAGCGCCACCCGCGTCGCTAAATTGTTGTATAGAGCTGAGCAAATGTTCAGTGGCAACTTACGTCTAACTTATGTCTATTTCCCTAAGATGCAGTTGTGTACCTCATTCAACTTGGTGGACTTCAGGATCCAAGTTAAAAAAAGCAAAAAGTAAACACCTTCCTGACAACTTCCTGCCCCTATACTAGATGGCATCGAGAAACATCAAGAACTGGCAGGATGACAAGGAGGAGGAAGAGGATCCTGACAAGGGGTGTAGCTGGGGCTGGGACACACTGGGACAAGTAGGGGATGGGGAAGGAAGTACTCACAGGATGACAGATGATGGTGAGGGGATGGGGGTTAGTACAAAGGAACCAGAGCAGCAGGACCCATCACCAGAGCCAGAGGAGCCCCTGGCTCTGAGGCATAGGAAGCAGCAGGATGGGTACTGTAGGAGGCTGAGGCAGGCTCCCTAACTGGCCAGGTGGGCCTCACTAGCTCTGGGAGAAGTGTGATTCCTCAGCTGGAGTAAGCTTGGAATAGGTGAAGGTTGCATGCCTCATCCAGCCCAGATGCTGCAATCAGCATGCAAAGTACAAAAGGGAAGCAGAGCTGAGATGCTGTGTCTGTTCAGCTGCCCATGGTGGTGGACCTTAGTTGTGATGCTCCTGGACCTCTATGGGGCTGTGCTTCGGGTTCGATTCTGGATTGTATTCTGACTGCTGGACTTCAGACTTGGCCTACCTGGACTATGTTTCAAGTCCTTTGGACCTTGGAATTTGGACTTTAGACTTTGGATTTTGCTTGCATGGATTGGCCCTTGGGCTTTGAACTTTGGACTTGACATGCTGACTTGCTGCCAGGTAAGCCAGGGGTTCAAAACACTTGTTCATCTTTGCTGACCTCTGGCAAGGTACAGATGCAGGTGTTGAGTACATTCCAAATCACATTCTCTGTTTGCTTGTGTTGTTCGCTAAGCCCATCAGTTTTGATCAGTGCATCTCATGAACTGAGGGTCAAACTACGCAAGAAGTGGAGGATCTCTGATAATATCTGCCAGAGTTTTCTTTAAAATTAAAAATCAACCACAATGGCCAAGTTTCAGTGTTATGCCGAGCAACGGTCTAGCATGGTGTCGAATGGAAGTGTTTCCTGGAATTTGCTTCCATTTCCCCACAAACTTGGCTTTGCATCATTCAAAATGACAGTGTGTTTCATATTAACGGTAGGTAAAGGTAAAGGGACCCCTGACCATTAGGTCCAGTTGTGACCGACTCTGGGGTTGCGGCACTCATCTCGCTTTATTGGCCGAGGGAGCCGGCGTTTGTCCGCAGACAGCTTCCGGGTCATATGGCCAGCATGACTAAGCCGCTTCTGGCGAACCAGAGCAACGCACGGAAAAGCTGTTTACCTTCCCGCTGGAGCGGTACCTATTTATCTACTTGCACTTTGATGTGCTTTCAAACTGCTAGGTTGGCAGGAGCAGGGACCGAACAACGGGAGCTCACCCCGTCGCGGGGATTCGAACCGCCAACCTTCTGATCGGCAAGTCCTAGGCTCTGTGATTTAACCCATAGCGCCACCTGCGTCCCTATATTAATGGTAGTTTGTTTGAAATAAGCCAACTTGAAAACAGAAGACAAAGAAGCATGTACCGGCTTGTTTAAGTCATGCTAAACTATAGTTTAGTGTGGACAAGGCTTGCCTATGTGTATGCTTATGTTATATGGACTGTGGTTTCTGTACTAAAGGAGAAGGATTAGCCACACGTGCCAATTTCCAGATCCAATTTGCTTATGCCTCTGAAGATGTCATGTGACTCACTGGAGAAAATACCCAATATGTCAAATAGCTACTTTGCTTAAAGGAATAAAAGTAGGTGCCAATCTCTGTAACTTCCATTGCAATAAGTGATTTGATCATTTGAGAACAGGATTCTGACTATGTCAGCTGGATGTCTACTGAGACAATTTTACTAGATACAAAGTAATTTGTACCTACAAAGTAATTACTACAGTTTACTAGCTTCCATTTTAAAACAATGCAGGAATCTTTGAGAATAACCGGAGCTCAAAGTGGGAGAGGATGCCATTCTATTATTTTTCCAGGTTGCCACAACTAAGTCCTAATATCCCACTTGCTTTTTTCCTCAAGTCATTTGAAACCATCCTACTTCAGGCACTTCAGGGTAGAGCATCACATGGAAGCTCAAGATCCTTTTGGCTAACGTATTTTTAATAGAAGAGAAAGGGGGAAAGAAGAAAGGGTGGTCAAAGGGTGCTTTACATTAGTATGGTGCGCAAAGGGCAGTTCTTTGAAGGGAAGATGAAAGCTAGCAACTAGGTTATTCATTATGAAATAATCAACTGGGAATAATAGGCTTTGCCTGCTGATCAGTGGACTACCTAAATTACTCCAGGCATGTAAAGCTATAGAATCTATGGCATGGGTGTAATGATGGTGGTTACATTGGGCTGTTAATCTGGGGGCTGGGGAGGGAATCTACCTGTGCCTTAAAATTGTATGCTTTTTGCCACATTTCCATTTAAACCTATATTTTTAACTCAAAGCTCCCATTTACTACTTATCCTTTTGGGTGGATGTAGCTCTGATCCAAATCTCTTATGTGTGGATGTGGTGTGGCTGTAACTCTTTAAAAAATAAATAAATGAAATGTCAAGAGCTCCAATCACACATCTCCACATCTTGCCTAGTTTGGATCTATCACTGCTTGTGGTTCCTGCAACACACCACCGCAACATGCAAGAATTCTGCCAGACACATGCAGACATCCTCATCAGCAGGCAAAATAAAGTGGAAAGGAAAGGGTTCTCTTGGGAAGTTTGATACCCACTGGACTGGATGACCACTCCAATGGTTTGCAGCTCAGTGATTCTGTGAAGAAAGCCATACTCTCTGAGGTTACTGTCAATATAAGGTTCTTGACATGGGGTGCTGTGGGTCTGAACCCCTGAAGCAATGTGTTCTTATACTTGCATTTCCGAACAGGAAGCCAGTTGGTAATGCATTTCTAAATATGCATTTAATAGAGGGGTAAGCAAATATTTCTATAAAAATATTTGCAATCCCCCCCCCTCGGGAGTATATTTCAAGAGTATGATTAGTTACCTTTTTTGTTCTACACTTGAGAGAGTGCACACTGTTTTGCTCTGTGCCATTGTTGCATGACATTCCATTTGGCACACAGTTTATTTTTAGGTACAAGACTATCAAAGTGTTCTTTTTTTTCCCTTTGTGGGTCTGTCAGCGCTCTTGAACAAGGAGTAATATTACCACAAGAACTTTGCTGAAACAAAGAAGTCATCTTGAACAAATGGGGAACTATAAATCTAGACCATCTCAAACTTGCACTGGTAATTAATCTTGCTTCTTTTTAAAGGAAATATATTGTAAATGATTCATGAAGAAATCTTCTCTAATTTACTGTGAAGTTCAAGTGAAAGGTGTTTTGTTGTCAGTAATCTAACTGAAAAATATTATGACTGAAATCAGACTTGCTTTTAGATTGAAATCAAGGCTACAGAAAAATAAGCAAACTTCTTCAAATATTGTTGTGTGTTGAGTACATATATATTTGTGGGTTTCCTGAAAAGAACCTATTCCTTCATTCTACTCTCTCAAGACAAGATATCAAATAATATTAAGAACTACTGGTAAATGTCAACAATTAACCTTGTATACTTTTGTGCTTTTATATTAAAATGTTTTTCTTAATGTTCTAAACAATGTGTCAAAAGAAAATCCATCCACCCGGCTCAGGTTATTATGTAATAGCACAGAATGACCTGGAGAAGGAAATAAAGTTGAAATTCTATTTTAAATTTATTTAAAGCTAAGATTCCTTCTAAACCTTGTTGTTGTTGTTTTTCTTTTTAGATGAATGGAAGAAAAAAGTGAGTGAATCATATGCTATAATCATTGAAAGATTAGAAGATGACCTCTTAATCAAAGAAAAGGAGTTTGCAGAACTAAAGCATGTCTTCAGGTAAATTATCTACCAGCATTGTTTATCCATCTATTTAAGAACAACAACAAAGCAAATCTGTCTAGTGCTATGTTTGGGGATACATACTTGGCATCCTGATAACTGCTGTGTGTTTGAGACTGCCATATTAGTTTCACAAATCTGTACGGCCTGATTTGCATATTATGCAAATTTTTGATGGTTTATGCACATGTTCAAGTTTGTGTGGAAAATATACGTGTGTGTGTGTGTGTGTGTGTGTGTGTGAAATTGCAGCTTCATGACAGTAAATAGAGCACAAGGGTTCAGTATGTAGCTGAACACTGGGTTTGGACTAGGGAGGGGTTTGCAGAAGCCATTTAGCTAGGTTGGCCTTTTGCTATGCCCCGAGGGGTGGTTTTCTTTGGGTGCGTGGGGAGAATCCATGTCAGTCACTGACAGTAAGTGACTAGATGAGACAGGGAGTGGTGATAATTAATTTCTGTATCAGCCTTTTTATGCACTATTCAACAACTCTGGAGCTTAAGGTACACTCTTGTCTGTGGTTCAAAAGAGTGGGAAGGGGGAGGGGTGACTGTACTTGCAGAGAGACCAGGTGTCATGGTGCATCTGCAGCAGCACAACCAGATGCCTTCATCTGCCCCAGCTGCAAAAAACCAAGCCTCTCCCTTATTGGTGTCTGTAGCCACAGCAGGTGCTGCAACCTTCTAACAGCTTGACTTCACCCCTCAAAGGTGCACTCCTTTATTGTCTCCCGGATGCCAACAAGCACTTAAAGCCTTCGATGGAAAGGGTGCAGAACATTACAGCCAGTGCTGGTGGGACGCAGGGTGAATCTAAGTTTGGCCTCATTGAGGGGCAGTATTTCAATAAGAGTAGGGAAATGAGAGTGCCCCTAAACGTTTTTTTAAGGAATAAAGCACTGATTACAACCCTGGAGTTTCTCTTGCTGCTCCCTTCCTAGTTTCAGGAGCTTTGATCCAGAGCAGAAGCCAGCTATGTTCCCCGGTCTTTCAGTACAGCTTCTCCCAAAAAAGAAGACAAAGCTAAACAGTTTGGAGCAGTCACATTTCATAAAATCAGAACTGTAGAGTTGCAAGGGGCCCCAAAAGTGATCTAGTTCAACCCTCTGCAATGCAGGAATCTCCACTAAAGCATCCATGAGAGATGGTCATCTAACCTCTGCTTAAAAGCCTCCAAGGAAGGAGAGTCCACCACCTCTCATGGGAGTCCATTCCACTGTCTAACAGCTCTTACTGTCAGAAAGTTCCTCCTGATGTTTCGTCGAAATCTTTCTTGTAACCTGTAGCCATTGGTTCGAGTCCTACCCTCCAGAGCAGGAGAAAACAAGCTTGCTCCATCTTCCACGCGACAGCCCTTGAGATATTTGAAGATGGCTATCATATCTCCTCTCAGTCTCCTCTTTTCCAGGCTAAACATTCCCAGCTCCTTCAACCGTTCCTCATAAGGCTTGACTTCCAGACCCTTTATCATTTTTTGCTCTCTTCTGCACACGTTCCAGCTTGTCAATAGCATTCCTAAATTGTGGTACCCAAAATTGAACATAGTGTTCCAGATGTGGTTCCAGCAGAATAGAGTGGTATCATTACTTCCCTTGATATGGATGCTATACTTTTGGTAGCTCTCTTCTCCATTGCATCCATGCTCAACGTAAAAGGTGGCAACCATACTTTCAGACCTTTTAAAAGTATTCCAGCATGTACAAAAAAGTTTTCTCCTCTGCCAAGATTAAAAACGAGATGTGCTGTAGCCCAGAAACTGATAGGTGAGTAATAAGAGCAGACAGAAGTAGTAGTAGTATTTTTAAGCTAAGAATTTTAAGGCATTCCAGGATAAAAATATCACAAAATATGCAAACTTGCCCACAAGCTGTAGGTTGACATCAACCATATTCGCGCAACTGATTTTCTGTGTTGGTTACATGAATGTAATTATGCAGATTGGCTGTTCCTCCCAGCTTTCCTCCCTGCTTCATCTGGCCATCGATGCTGAACAATTGCCCTCACCCACTCTGACAGCAATAGTGGGGGGAAATTCCCGAGCCTCAGTGGGATGAAAATCACTCACTGCAAATCTTGTTACTATCTTTTCTTAATTACAGTGCAGCTTTTCAGATTACACTGCAGAATACTCAGAGGAATAGTAAGAGGCTCATTGAAGACAAAAGGAGGCAGGTTTTTAGAAACATACCTGACCTATTGCCAAAGAGGTAATGTTCAAAAAACTATGTGCAAGTAAAAAAAGAAGGCGGGAAAAAAGATTATTCTAAATTCTTTTTTTTTAAAAAAAAAATTCTCCTTCATCCTAAAGTATTTCCGGCACACGGCAAGCAGCAGCAATTTTCTAAGTCGACTTTACAATGCATTTTCAAGCCTGCTGATAAAAGCTTGCTAATTATTGCTCCTTTCCCATAACATTATAGCCCTACAACTTGAGAGAAAGAGGTCTGGGGAAAGCATCTGGTCAAATTACCTGTAATATAATAATGTGCATTGTGTATTTATTTTTAGTTGTTGAGGAAGTTGGCAAAGCTCAGTTTACATATCTACTGCCAGTTTTTCTAACTATTTTTATTAATGAATTCTCTTTTGCTTCTCTGACATACAGTGGTAGAAAGGAGGTCAGCAAGCATAGTTAATGAATCATAAAACTGCAGATTCTGTAACTTTTATTTTTTAGTATACCCTGCATTTTCCCAAAAAGATGTTTGCATCAGGTGCAAATGCCACATATCATTTTTTTAATGAGGCAGTATGGCTATTTATCCTGTTTAAGAAATACATTGGCAACAATGGCTTCATTTTAATTATTCGCTTCATCCACATATGTCTTTATGAAATCATCAGGTTGTATTAAAATCTACCATGGCATACCAAAAAGTGTAGGAGAAAATGAAAAATATACATTGCGTTTTGCAGTAAGTGGTATTCAGTGGCTGGAGAGTTTGACATGCTCACGTTTGCAATGCAATTAGTACAGAAAGTGTAAAAAAAAAAGTGGGAGAAAATTGCATTTCTCTCTAAGGATTGCTGTGGCTTAAAATGAAACTCTTTTTAATTGCATGTATGAAAAACGGAAATGCTGTACTTCAGGTTAATGGCAACTCATAATGGAAAGCCTGCAAATGATTCTAAATGTGGATTAACAAAATTCAAATCCTACCGTTTCAGAAACAAAGCTCATAAATAATGGTTTGAAATTCCATTCATTTTTTAAAAGCATTTTTATGTTTGTATTGCTCTGCAATAACTCAGGAGACCAGGTTACTTGAAAGACCGCCTGCCCCTCTATAGACCACCTATGTGTTTTCTCTCTCTCAAGGAGAGCATTCAAACATATGTTTCCCCTCACCAGTGGTCTGAGCATAGTGTGGCACTGTGTACTAGTGGTACAATCCAGGAGAACCATAACGTGTGTGTAGATGTGCAGTATTGTAGGTGTTGAATTGTTTCTGTTGAACTATACATGGCAGGGGTAGGTAATCCCAGGCCATACTGTGTGTGTGTGTGTGTGTGTGTGTGTGTGTGTGTGAGAGAGAGAGAGAGAGAGGACACAGTACGTAAGTTGTACTGTGAAGGCAGTAGCAGCAATGCGCTGTTTCATTTCTTTCTCTGTGCTCATAATCTTTCGATGGCTCTCATGGAATTTCATCATGATTTGTACTTTGGTCCAATATCGTAGGATACACTATTGTTTTTTTCATTCCTGGGA